AAAAAAAAAAAAAAAACACCATAGATTAGTTTTGCCTATTCTGGAAACTCACACCACTGCATGAATCCATTCTTTTATGGATAGACACCTAGGCTTTTTCCACTTTGGGGCTATTATGAAAGAACTTATGAACATTCATGTAAAAAGGGATTTTGTGGATATTTTTATTTCACTCAGGTAAAAAATATCTAGGACTGTAATGCTGAGTCACAGAGCAGGTGGGTGTTTAGTTTCATAAGCAACTGCCGAAGCTTTTACCAAAGTCACTGTACCATTTTACACCATCACCAGTCAGGTTTGGGAGTTCTGGTTCCTCACCAATACTTGAAGTCAGCCTTACAAAGTTTACCCATTATGGTGGGTATGTAGTGCTATCTCCTTGGGGTTTTAATTTGCATTTTTCTGATGAACAATAATGTTGAGAATCTTTACATGTGCTTATTGACCATTAATATATCTTCTCTTGTAAAGTGGCTAGTTAAATATTTTACTCATTTTTTAATTGGATATGTCTTTCTTATTGAGTTGCAGTCCTTTATTTGTCCTGATTACCAATTCTTGCCTGATATGTTTTATGAATATTATCTCCCAGTCTGTGGTTTGCCTATTTACTTTTTCAATTGTGTTTTTTGATGGGCAGAAATTTTTAATTTGGATGAAATGCAATTTATCAGTTTTTTTTCTTTAATGTTCATTGTTTCTGTGACCTAAGAAACCTTTGACTATCCTCAAAATATTCTCCTCTTTTCTTCTAAAGATGTTATCATTTTAGCTTGTACATTAAGTCTATAATCTATTTCAAACAACTTTTTAGTATTTTGTGAAGTAGAGGCTGAAGTTCCTTTCTTTACATATGAATACCCAGGTGCTTCAGTGCCATTTGCTGAAAAGACCTTCTTTCCTGCCATTTGATCGCTTTTTCACTTCTGTCACAATGCATGTGACCATATAAATGTGGCTTGAGTTCTGAGCTCTCTAGATAGGTTGTTCCATAAATCTAGTTGTGGACTAAGGCATATGACTGCTAATCAGAAGGCAGGCAGTTCAAACCCACCAGCCACTCCTCAGAAGGAACATTGGGCAATCTACTTCTGTAGTGATACTGCCTCAGAAACCCAAGGAGGGATCGCTATGAATTGGGTCCGACTCCACAGCACATAACAGCAGCAACAAATTTGTGGATCCACACTGTCTTGGTCATTGTGTGTTTATAAGGATTCTTGAAGTCAGTGTAAGTTTTTCAACTTTGTTCTTGTTTTTCAAGATTGCTTTGGATATTTTAGATCAAGCGTCTGCAAACTTTTCAGTAAGGGCCTTCAGATTTGAAGCAATACAGTCTATCTTGAAAATACTCAACTCTGTCATAGTAGCACAAAAGTGGCCATGTTGCTGCTGTTAGGTGCTGTTGAGTCAGTCCATATGCCCAACAGAACAAAACACGGCCCACTGCTGCACTATCCTCACAATCCCTGCTGTGCTTGAGCCCATTGTTGCAGCCACCATGTCAGTCCATCTCATTGAGGGCCTTCCCCTTTTTCACCGACCCTCCACTTCACCAAGCATGACATCCTTCTCCAGGGAATAGTCCCTTCTGACAACAAGACCAAAGAAGGTGAGACAAAGTC